ATTCAATAATCTATTTAACTGTAAAATAACACTGGTAGATAGTCTTGACTGTATAAATAAACACTAATGACAGAAGCAGCAGGTTTATTTAGGCTACTGTCTCTTTAAGATCTAACGCATGGATCTAATATACTGTTACACGTGCTGTTTGTTTCTCAACTGTTTACATTCACTTAATATATAACCGACTGTGTTTACATGAATACTCGCAAAGACAGGCATTTTGACAATTTTCTATGTATTTGGCAAAAAAAACAAACAAAAAAAACAATTCTGTAGTCACGCGCTGTATCAGAGATGGCTGTATGTGAGCACTTTGAGTGTGAGCGCACAGAAAACAGTCTCTCAGAGAGTGTGTGAGTACTGTATTGCCTGTATTAAGTTAATTATATTAAGTTCTCTTTCACGTCGTCTTGCGCTTGAATGGTTTGAAGTCACTTGATGGTTTAAACTGGTAAGACTTAAAAACGTGCAAATGATAGATGCCATCAATGTTTGTGGGAATTTCCTGTTTTATAAGTATGGAACCTGCGGGAATGAGTAGAATTATGCGCAATACCAGCAATCCCGTGCCGAAATTCAAGCCCTAAAGAATATATGTATATGCATACACACACACACACACACACACATAAAAAAAATTTGAAATATAACACATTACATCAACAACAATCGTTTATCTCTATTATTGCCCAAAACATATTTGAAAACAAAATGATGAATTGTCTGGCCCTACCAGCAGGTACAGATGGCAACATGGACTGTTCACTGACCATCAGATGTGAACAAAAATTGCAAAACCTTGTCCGTCATCAGTTCCAATTTGATTAGTGAATTGGCACTGAAACTACAGCTTCAGCTCTTTACCACCTCCAGCACGACACACACACAGCAGACAATTGCAAAGCTACTTTAAATGTTGTATAACCGGCCCACATCATTAGCCTTTTGTTATTTTTATATGCCCTTCAATTTGGTTTGCTAATTTGTCTGCTTTTGTGTTCTCAGACAGGCTTAGCATTTAAGCATATGCATACGAGTTTCATTTATTTCTTTAGATGTGCGTTCATGTGGCCATAAGCCTCGTGTTCTGTTTTTAGTCTAAATTGCCTTTATAATACGATTAAACCTGAACATGTGGCTTTTGGTCCTTCAGTCTGGGGTCAATTAAAGTTGTTTGTTTTTCATGTGTGGCATGTTTTTGCTATAGGACAACAGACAGCTGCTGAATGAGAGAATTAAGCTGGAGGGAATCATGACCAGGGTGGAGACATACCTCAACGAGAACCTGCGCAAACGTCTCGACCAAGTCGAGCAGGTGACGATACCGATTTTCCTTTTTACTGATATAACCTTTATGAAACACAATGACATTAAGTGCACTAAAAATGTGTGTGTTTGTGTAGGAATTGAATGAACTGAGAGAAACCGAAGGAGGAACTGTCCTCACTGCCACAACGTCAGAATTGGATGGCATTAATAAACGCATAAAAGACACTTTGGCTCGATCTGAGGGTGAGTGAAGACTCAAATCGTGTTGTTTTTGTTTTGTTTTTCGTAAAAAGCACTACTTTTGTTGGTCTGCATTTTGTTTGTCATTTCATTTTTCAGATTTGGACTCCCTCATCGATAAGACGGAGGTGGAAATAAAAGACCACCAGAAGAGTATGGAGCGCTGGAAGAACATCGAGAAGGATCAGAACGAAGCCATCAATCACGACACAAAGGAGCTGGAGAAGATGACCAACAGACAGGGGATGTTACTGAAGAAGAAAGAGGAATGCATGAAGAAGATTCGTGAGCTGGGCTCCCTGCCGCAGGAGGCCTTTGAAAAGTACCAGACGCTCACGCTCAAACAGGTATAGCAACCATATCTGGAGCTTATTGTTTTTTTGCACTGAAATGCAAGTTTATTTTCCCTTTAGTCAAAAGTTTATGGTGAAGTTCCGTATAATTTCCTGTGACTCATTTAGAGTGATATTAAATCGTATTTTCCTTCTCTCCTTCAAAAAAAA